CACATCCCCCACCATGGCCATGACCTTCATTGCTGTTGACAAAACATCACTGCCACTTACAACTGTTAACCTCTTTATCCTGCTCTGACACAGATTGCTGTCCTTTCAGATTCCCTCTCCTAGCCTGCCTTCCTCCCTGAGTTGCCACAGGGTCTTTGGCTGCCCTGCCTGCTCAACTCTGATGGGCCCAGCAGCTGGTCAGTCTCTCCAACTCTCCTTAACCATCAGTAATCCAAACAAACCCACCAGCCTCCCCCATGGCTGCTGCAGCCCCCGATGCCATCCCTGCCCATCCCATCCCCAGCTCCTGGTCACTGACTCTAATGCCAGCCAGCCTCCTCTGTCAAGGCCAGCCATACTTCCCTCCTGACACTTTCTCAGTTTAAACCTTTTCTGTCCTGAAACTCCTCCTGCAGCTTACACAAATACAGAGTCCCAAATCTCTTATACATTAACTCTGTCTACACTCCCAAAACTTCCCTTCTACAAAATGTCATTTTTTTCTACCCTCTTCTCCTTAAAATATCTCCCACTGTCCAGCCCCCATCACTGCCATAGCTCCGAAAACCATCTCAGCCCCATGATGTCCCATTATGCTGTCCTGAAACCAAATTCCCTGTATCAGCCACTGACTCCTCCCACACTTGCTCTCCTGTGTCCCCTGTCTGCTCAGCCTCTGCTGTTGAACCTCTACAGTCACTGCCTCCTCCCTCTTCTCTTCCTAAAGCCATGTTCTCCACTATTAATTACTTCATGATCCTTCTTACCTTACACCTCCCTCAGCCAAGGCCCTGGCTACTTTCCCAACTTAATAACCCTTCCTGTCCTGACACTGCCTGCAGCTTAAACTCAGACATATAAAACAAGCATGATAAAGAGACATGCCAGCTCCTGGCAACACCCCTAATCTCCTCTAAACAAAGATGATGGGCACTAAAGAACCCTCACATGGAGCTTGCTTTAAATGAAACAAAGCTGGCTACTGGGTGAAAAACTGCCCTTCCCTTTATTGCTGCCTTGGCCCTGTCCAAACTGTGGACGAGCAGGATACTAAGGAGTTGATTGCCTTACTTCGCCTAGACTAAGTAGCCCCTCCCTCAGGTTCCTACTCTACAGGAAAGTCTGTTGGATCTTCTCAGCCTGGTAGCCAAAGGCTGATGCTGTCCTGGGACCCCTGCCCCAACAGTCATGGAGGCACCTAGGGTAACTGAGCAGGTAGCCAGTAAGTCTCTTCATTTTGATTGATACAAAAGCCATTTAAATTGTACTTCGTATACAGATTTATCGTTCTCAGGTCTCCAATGACATTGATGACTAACTGTAGCTTGAACAACACAAACACTCAGTCCATTTCACATATATATTTTACCTTGTTGAGAGTCTTCAAACTAAGAAAGATTTGGAGTTTCTGACGGTTATGAGAAACAGACAAGTAAATTATGTAGGACAAGGAAAATGAATGTTGCAAGGTATGTAGGTCTAAGATAAGTTTAAAGTTATGACAGTATATGTGTTAAGGTCTGAAGATATGAGAGTTTAAGTAAGTTGTAAGATTTGAGAACGTGATTTATGGGGCCGAGAAAAAAATTTAAGCTTTATGAGAAGTTGGTTTGATTTCTTTCCTTTCCATGCTAACTCCTCTCCCTCACCCACAGTCAGAATATACACCCAGTCCTCCAGATTCCCCCCAGGCCCCCCTTACTTTGCTCCTTTCAAGGTTTTTTCTCCTTATTCTCTCATGTCCTATTCCCTTACTAGAATAGTATGTCTGCTCCAAAATTGACATAAATTTTGCCTTTTACTGGACAGCAGCTCTCAGGATACTCCTGCATCCCTCCTCTTTCTTTCATCAAGAATCCCCAAACCTCTCTCATCCTCACCTTCTTTATCCAGTACCTGCCACTGTATGGGGTACCACCTCGACTTCCCTAGATTCACATCATAAATCCCTCTCTATTAAACACAAGAACCCTTCTGCCCACATTTCTGAACCCAATACTCTCTTTTCTTAGCCTCTGCCTAGACCTCAAAACCATTGTTTCTATGCCCCAACTCCTTACAATACTCCCATATTAACTGTAAAACAAAAACAAACAAACAACAACAACAAAAAAAAACTCAACTGAGCCTTTCACCTGGTACATAACCTGTGCTCCATAAATGCTACTGTTGTCCCTGTACACTGTTAAGTCTCTAACCCTTTGGCTATCCTCTCCTTTATCCCTGACAACACCAACCATTCACTTTTCAGTCCTAAATATTAAATATATTTCTTCTCAATACTCCAGGATGTCCAGTCCTATGTTGTTTTGAAAGAAAATAGCCCCCAAAGGGAGGGGCACTATTAAGAGGTGTGATCTTTTTGGAGGAATTATGTCACTTTGGGTGTAGGTGTGGCTTTGAGCTTTTTTTTTTTTCCTTTTGCTCAAGCTTGTCTCAGTGTGACTGTCAGTCACCTTTCTGTTGCCTGCAAGATGTAGGACTCTCATCTATGCCTCCAGCAGCACATCTGCCTGCAGGCCACATACTCCCCACAGAATGATAATAGATAACCTCTGAAACTATAAGCAAGCCACCCCAACTAAATGTTTTCTTTATAGGAATTGCCATGGTCATGGTGTCCTTTCACAGCAAAACACAAAAAACAAAACAAAGAAACAAACAAAAAACCCTAACTAAGACAACTCCCAAGACCATTTTTGCCTTCACATAGTCAGATCCTGATACTCAATAATCCTGACAACTGACCTGGACTTTCCTTCCCCAGGGATTCAGAGACAGTCCCCAACTTTTTGGTGAGACATATACTACAGACTCAGCCTGCCTACCCCCTTTTCCTCCTGTGAGCTTCGGTATATAGATAACCTCCTTCTTTACAGTCCTTGCCTCTCTGTTAGCACATCTGACACCACCTCACTCCTAAAATTCCTCAGCTCCAGGAGTTACCTGGTCTCACCTTCCAAAGCTCAACTCTCCTCTTCCAAGTCAACTATCTTAGATTCTTTTTCAAGCCAAACCACAGACACCTCATTTTAAACCTTCTTGCCCATCTTCACTCCTTATCTCTGCCCTCATGGCCATTTTCCTCTGCTCATGGGCTCCTGGATACCCAATCCTAGTAAATCCTCTATAACAAGCCACTACTCGGCCTTCTCCTTCCTCCCATCCACAAATAATTCCTTAAATTTAAGGCATTCTCCTTTCTATTCTAGTTTTCTCCCTCCCAGATCTATGAAAACCTTTCCATAATTACACTTCCAAAGCACACAAACACTTCTTAAAACTAACCTTTGCCCCTTTTCACTTACCTCTCCAAAACTCTAGGTAACACCATCCATTGACTGACCTTGTCTGTGAGCTCTTGCTCACCTCTAAGTCAAACACACTCTGGGATCACTTCTCACAACCTAATGATCCCCTCTCACTACCTACTCCCCCAATATCTGCCTCAGCCGCTAAACCTCTTTCACCCTCTCAGATTCCATCCCTCCAAACTTCTCTTCTCAAAAGCTCATCACTCATACTCCTTACCTATCCCCACCTCAGTCACTCCACACTTACCCCTTTGCCTCGATGTTCCCCAGATCCTCTACACTCCGGTCTCAAACTCTCAAAGACTTCCTCCCCCATCCCTCTCATATACTTGTTCCCTTGATCATCAAAGTCCCCCTTTGGGAACCAAAGCCACGCTCCCTCAACCTTTCCACACCAACCCCAAAAACCTATTACATACTGTCCCTCTCACCATTTGCCAAAAGCCTCCTAAATTATATCCTCCCCAACACAACCAGACCCTGCTTTCAGATAACAGTTGTTCCCCAAATAACCTTATATAGCCAATCTAAATGTTCCTGGCTCCTTTCATGAACTTCAAACAGACCCCAAACAAATACGCCTGTCAATCAACAGCTTGTTTTCCTACCTATTGCCTATTCCTATGTGTGGGATCTCTCACCCTTTCCCTGGGATCTCTATCCTTTCCGTTGTCTTGGATTCCTCTTCCCAACCACCAGGACCATGGTTTTAACAATTAAACTTAACAGTTTCAAATGTACATCCAAGACAAAAATTCTTCTAAACTCCTTACCTTTACCTTTTTCCTTAGCCTATTTGTCCCAGCAGATTTCAAATCAACTACAGCCTGCTCCAACAACCCCAGAGCCAGCCACAGCTGTCTCCTAATAATCTACATTTTGGTCCATCGTCACGTCACAGACTACAAATCCTTAGCCTCAGAATCTGGTCCTGAAAAACCTGGGCATCAACTGACACAGCCTGCTCCTCCTGCCCTTCACCAACAATCCAGCTTCATTGATCCCCTAAAAAACAATGTCCCAATGTCAGCAGAAATCAGCCAGAGAGAATGACACCCAGTTACCCAACACTCAGCCATCCAATAATAAAACAGAATGGTGGGGATGAAGAAACACTAGACTACTTGAGAATGTGCCTCTGGCAGCCCTTGCCCTTCTCAGTTCTCTCTGCCTTGTTACAAACCATCAGATCACTTTTCTGAAGCTAGCTCCCAAGGTCTATTCACTTGTTTGGACAATCCCTTCTTCTGAGGCAAACTTCCAATGTCCAGCTATCAAAGTATTGAAATAAAGCACTCAAAAGCCCTCCTTGACTCAACTAATTAACATGCCCAATTAAAATTAAGGACCTCATCCTAACACAGGTTTCCCATTTTACCTTTATAAATTGCCATTTTCTTCCTATGTGCTATATCTGTCTCCCTTCTATCCAGAGGCAGTCCTTTGTCTCTCCAGGACAAATGTCCCTGATCCCTTTCCTTGGTTTCCTTTCCCTTCTCCCTCTTACTCTATCTCCTGTCTTTGTCCCCTATCCCTACCCTATGTCACTCTCGGGCTAATAAATCTCCTTTGTGCTGAGAATTTTGTCTGGGAACCTGATCTTGGGGGTCCTGAGGCAATATTTTTCCTTTCACACAGAAGTAGCCCAGAGGCAGGGAGATGATTGTCCTCTTGGGACATGCTTACCTGTGAGTCTCAGCAGTAGGGTCAATAGCAGGACACTGTGAAGAGTATGAGGCCAGGAATCAAGGTCAAACATGTTGTAAGCTAAGGAACTTGCTCTGGCCAGTGTCTGTGCTGATGAGATCCCAGGTTCTGATCTGCAAATAAAAGAGGTGCTGTGTCTTATTCTGTATAAAGGATGTGACTGTGTTATGATGAAACAGGAACCATACTGGTTATTTTGAAATAGTTACATAGCATTGCAGGCAAATGCAAGAGAGGAGTTATTTGTCATTCATTTTTAGAGGGACTCAGATAATGCCTAGGAAAAGTAATCTTTTCTCTTTCTCTGGAACCTATACTAGACCCACTTGGTCTCAAGACATCTTGTCTTAGTAACTCACCATTGGAATCCAGGACAAAAGGATGTTTTCTTTATCAAGATGATAGGAGACCTAAAAGAGGAAATGAAAAATTCCCTTAAAGAAATGGAGGAAAAGACAGACAAAAAATTGGAGGAATTCAAGAAATCTCTTAAAGAAAGTCAAGAAACTCAAGAAAACAACAATCAAATGGGTGAACGAAACAGTTCAAGACTTGAAAATTGAAATAGAAGCAATAAAGAAAACACAAACTGAGGCAATTCAGGAAAAGGAAAATCTGAGTAAACGAACAGAAAGTACAGAGACAAACATAACCAACAGAATTCAAGAAATGGAAAAGAGAATCTCAGGCGGCGAGGATACGACAGAGAAAAAAGCTTCATCGGTCAAAGAAAATGATAAATCAAGCAAATTTTTAACACAAAATATGTTGTTGACTTCCCATGGGAGGCCTTACCCTCTCTGAGGAGTGGATGGGGGTTGGGATGGGGGGAAGGTGGGAGATGAGCAGGAGGAGTTGAGGGAGGGCAAACTATGGTTGTTATATAAGATAAAAAACTTTTAAATAAAAAAGATAATTAAAAAAAGAAAGATATGTGTGTAGGTGGAAGTTTCCTGTCCCACCAGCCCACTTCCAAATAAACACACTGAGTCTTAATATTAATTATAAATTTTAAGCTGATAGCTCAGCCTTATTACTAACTACCTCTTACAACTTAACCCATTTCAATTAATATTTGTGCTGCCTTGAGGCTCATGGCTTTTACCTCTATCCCATTGTGTGTCTGACTTGTTCTGCATCTGGCTGGCAACTTCTTCATCCTAGCATCTTTAGTTTGGTTGTCCTGCCTATACTTCCTGCCTGCCTACTGGTCAATCAGCTTTTTATTAACAATGAGAGCAATACATATCTACAGTGCACACAAACTGTCTCACAGTATATGTGTTATTGCAGTTGTATTATTATTTTGTTTTCTGTTTTTATTCTTAATCTTATTTTGTGTTTCAATAACTATAGCTTTATTTTCATTGTATATTTTCTTGTCTATGCTTATCCCATTCCACAATCTCAAGGGTTCCTTCCAGTAGTCTCTGTAGGTTTATTTTTCTGGACATGAATTTTTTAGCCTGCTTATGTCATGTTCACATGGCCCCATCTTGGATCTTTTAATCTTTGCACAAAAATTCTCTTCCCAGTGATGCTAAGTTAAGTTCTTCTCCTCTACAGATTCTCTTTATTTCTTTAGGTATCTAGATATTATCCTCCTATCATGTATCATTTTTAAATATAGTATGCTATTTACATATTTATTGTTTATTGTAATTTCCCTTAGTAGAAGTTAAATTCCTTATGGACAACTATACTGTCTCTTTTATTCATCAATGATACACATGTTCCTGTAACAGTATCTGGATCATTATGGTAGCTATTCAATAAATATTTTCATCCTGTATGAGTTGCTCAGTGTGAAATCTTCCCATGTTAACAAAGTACATTTTTTTTTTTTTTTCGAGACAGGGTTTCTCTGTGTAGCTTTGCGTCTTTCCTGGGACTCACTTGGTGGCCCAGGCTGGCCTCGAACTCACAGAGATTCGCCTGCCTCTGCCTCCTGAGTGCTGGGATTAAAGGCATGCGCCACCACCGCCTGGCAACAAAGTACATTTTTAAATGGATGATGATGTTGAAGTTGTGAGAGACCCAGTTTCTATGTATACAGCCTTGTTAAAAGAAGACATTTTCACTTAAGGAAGATTCTGAAAAAGTCCAGGAGAAGAAAAATCATCTCTCTTCTTAGTCAACTCTCCTCAGTACTCATGAGAGTACTGGAGAAAGCTCATAGGAATGATGAAAGTACCTGAGAAAATTAATGGTGAATCCATAACTGCAGTCACATTATCCGAAATTGAACCACAGCTCTAGTAGTTGCTATTTAGGGACTTTGAAGCTCTTCATACCTCTGTTTGTCCATGCACTAGTGTAAAAGGTGTACTTACTTTGGATACATACCCACAGAGCTATAATGTGCTTCCTTAATACCTGCCACATGGTTTTTATGAAATGGAAAAGTTCTTAGTTAATTTCTTGAGCCAGGTATTATTTTTCTTACATTAGATGATTAGAGTATCTACATAGAGACATGGGGATAGACATGAATATGGAGCTGGAGACAGATCTAGACATAGATGTGTATATGAATATAGATGTGGACCAGCCGATAAACATAGCTGTGGATATTATTGTAGATTGCTATCTTTCTTTTGCTGTTCTGGCAAATACCTAATGAAAATATTTTGGAGGAGGAATGATTTCTTTGGCCTCCAGTTTTGGGTGATCAGTGTGTGGTTGACTGGCTCCTTTGCTATGCTGCGGTGCAGGAGTAGATGGTAGAGAGAAGTTGCTTATTTCATGATGACCATGAAGTAGAGAGAAGCATGAATAAATATGTGCTAAGTATTGCCTTCAGAACTCTGTCTTCTCTAACCTACTTCCTCTAGACTGACCTGAACCCTTAATATTCAGTCTCCCAAAATAGTGCTATAAGCTGCTTGAAAAAACTTGAAACCAGATTTTAGAGTCAAAGTGTAGCATCTATGTTAGACAGCTTCCTAATAATGTAGTTATTGGCAATGAAATTTCTGAAGCTAATAAAGAGAAGTTTGTTACAGTTTAATAATTTTTGATTGATCAGTGGCCTGCTTGTTTTTGGACCTGTGGAAAGACATGTCAGTGCAGTAGTAAGATCATGGTAAAGTAAAGAAGAACTGCTGTAACATTAACAAAAATAGAAAATGGACCAGGTAACCATCATCAGGCATGCACCCATCTACCTGAGAGGTGGCTCCCCATATACTCCCAAGAAAGGTCTCACAATATTCTAGTAAATCTACACTAGGGACCAAGCCATTAAGACCCATGTGCCATTAGGGAACATATCAAATGTATTGCATTTGTAATCTCTGTCTATAAATTCCTCCTTTCCTCCCATGAATGCAAGAGTAAAACAAAGGCAGTAATCTACCAAAGTTCAGCCTTGAGAAAAAGTTATTTACGAAGAGGAAAGTTTGCTTTCTGTAAGCATTTAGGGAAGCTAAAGAGTTGGAAGAGAAGGAGAAGTGGGTGGTGACCAATATTGGGTGAAACAGAACTGAAACTAAGTACTGTTTAAATATTTTGCAAATTGAAAAATTAAAGTAACAGTAAAGAAAGATATTTTTAAAATTCCTGTTTGTTTGTATATACACTGATGCACAAATACACACACACAGGATTGTGTATACACAAATATGTAAAAATGTGCCTTCCCATGATATTATATAAGGTCATTTTAAGGACATTAAATTTTAGCATTATGGATATCTCAATAAAGTATATGCAGAGAAAGGCAACATGTATTTTATAGGTATACACACTCTCTTCTCATTGTAGTCATTTAATGCTTAGTCACAATTTTCACCCTGATTGTGATGAAAATCTCTTTGAAAATTAGTAAGTCATTGTTCTGAATGTGCCTTTGTCTTGTGAAATCAGAAGTCATGCTGGACAAATACCAGGAGCCAAGACAAGTATTTTCTTTTTTTTTTTTTTTAAGTCAGGTAACCTCAGTTGTTCCTAACCCACAAAGGCTGTGTGGGTGGGTGAAGGTCAGATATTTCTGTCTGATTCGATGCATTTTTTATTCTTTCTGCAATCAACTTATGCAAAAAAAAAAAAAGCCTAATGGCATACTGTAGTTAAAATAAAGAAACCATGGTGGTGTTGGAGCTGGGTTTGTAACTTAATAGTGAGCGTGATTTAGCAAGTATGAGGCATGATTTTAATCCACAGCCCCCCCAAAAAAGGGAGGAAAGAGCAAATGAAGGGAGGAGCAAGAGGAGAAATCTCAAAGTGTCTGGCCAAGAATTAATCTGAGCTTTTTTGGTGACTAAGCCAGGTAAAAGTAGACACTTCCTCTGTCTGACACATCACTCCTCCCCAAGTGAACAGGAAAATAGGAAAAGCTACTGCAGGAAGAGTGGACAAGTAAGGAGCACAAGATGCTAAATTCTTCTGAACTCATTCTTTAGGGCTGGCCTTGTATGCTGTGAAAATGTAATGTTCATGTTTTTAAAAGGTAGCTGGAAGTTTTTCTGTGTCCTGCCCAGCCATGCAGTCCCTCAGCTGCTTATAAAATAATCATTCAGAAGCTTATATTCATTATAACTGCTCAGCCATTAGCTAAGGCTTATTAGTGACTAGCTCTTACCCTTAAATTAACCTATAATTCTTATCTATGTGTGGCCACATGGCTTGGTACCTTTTCTCAGTTCTGCCTTGTCATCTTGCTTCCTCTGTGTCTGGCTGGTGACTCCTAACTCTGCTTTCCTCTTCCCAGAATTCTCCTTGTCTGCTTATCCCAACTATACTTCCTGCCTGGCTACTGGCCAATCAGCATTTTATTATCAATTAATCAAGGCAACACACATTCACAGCATACAGAATGACATTCCAAAGCAGCGACATGCTGGCCCTCTACAGTTGTACTGGGAGTCTGAGAGGTGCTGGGTCCAGATCTGAGGATGTAGATTGGATTTATAACAGGACTGTGGGAAGAGCAGTGTATTAGGAAAGCATGGATAGGCCTGGAGTGTGCCTCTTCCTCCCTGTCACAAAAGCAGGAAAATAAATGATCCTGGAGAAAGTCAAGAGGACCAGGGATGTGTGTAGACATGTTGTAGGTGAACAGTATCCTGGTCATATATCAAAGCCACAAACCTTGATACTTATAATGT